CTGTCTCTGGCACTTCAGGATCTAGCGAGTATCAATCCATACTTAATTCTTTCCAACTTCAAGTATCTGGTTTTAGACAACATAAACTCTTCCTCTGAATGTTTCAGTTGTGCACTATGAATATATAGTAAACAGTAAGATGTAAAACCTTCCTGAGGAGAAGGTGCACGAGACACAAGTTTGTACATCATTTGTTTCCTCGGAATGATCATTGCTTGTCAGTAATTTAAATCCACAATTTTAGCAGTGAGCCGAGTAACGTTACAAATACCAGGCTTGTTTGGCTAACAGTGACCTTTCCCCATCATATCTTCAAATGTTCACAAGCGAACAGACACAGGGCTACATAATCAGTTGGAAGGGCGTAGCGTTACACTGGATCATTATAATTAGCTAGCCGACCAGATATGCAAACCACATAAGTGTTGGCAACATATTATAACGTTAAAGCACAATAACGCCAACTTGGCCTTTTGTGTCCACTTGTCAACACAAGTAACGTTATGTCTCACTGAGAGGCAACTTTTTAAATGTTGTAGGAGCTAGCTAGCACGCTAATTAGCAAACAAGCTAAGCTTGGCTAGCTGAACATTTATAAATGTATTTAACGAATATCATGGCATTCAAAGGGCACACAATATGAACACACGATAGGAGTTTACTGTCGTTATCTGGACACCAAGAGATAAGTGTTTAACTGTATAAATGTAGACCTGTGCTGGTGGATCAGGTTGCCCGGTGGATGCCATCTTCCTATTCCTCGTTTACTTGAGAGGCTGCTCGAGTGAGCAACGCTCGATTGCTTTTTCTGAAGGCTAACAACCGTCCATTATTAAGTAAACTGATCACTGATCACTTCAGAGATGAAAACTTCATTACTATTTCTACTGCACTATAATGTTTTTATATTTAAGCAGTAGTAGTCTTTTTTGTTTGATAATCCAGCCAGGCCCTGGTCTTGCAGGTTTACTCCTCCAAGACAATTCAATTAAATTAAGGCGCAATATCCCTATAATGTGCAATAAGTTACTGGTGGAACATTAAATGTTATATTTGTCACCAAGTGACACATTAAAAGAAGGAAAATTACTGAGTCCAAAATATCTTGTGGGGTAAAATGCCCTCTTTAGCTATATATCCTGAGAGAAAATGAGACTGAGCCTTGCTGAACTATGAATTATGTCCATTAATAATATTGGTTGGAAGTAGATCTAGACTAATAATGACCAGTGTTGAGCAGTGAATTATATGTAATTAAACTAGTAATTTCACTACATTTTACAGTAACTTCTTAGTAGTTCAACTACATTCATATTTGTTTAGTGACTGAACTGGTTAAATTCCATGTTTTCCAAAATTTTGTGTAGTTAAGTACTGTAACTACATATAATTCTGGGCCACAAAAGGAAATGAATGGTTTTTATTTTTATTTTTATTTTAACATTGCTTCTCTAATCCTAACTACCTTTTGGAGTTTAATATTTTTTGTAGTTGCTTTTTAAATACAGAAAAACTACATATCCCAGAGTCCGTAGCGCCATCACGGCAGTTTCCATGTTCGACATGATTGTACGGTGTGGTCAATGGCTGACAAAGAAGGCGACAATTGCCGGTATTTATCAGTGTTAAAGTATCAGAAAGAATTAAAATACGTTGGTGCACATACCGTCTAGAATGACAGATAGGAAACCGTGTAAAGTGTGCAATTTCACACGACAAAAATCATATGGGTTGGTAGTTCCCTCTCTCGATGAGCTGAAGATAAAAGGTGAGTTACCATAACTTGTTATAAGTTAATGCTAAAGGTGTTTGTGTGGCTGTTTAAGGATTATATTATATTATAAGGTCATTTTAAGGGGGAGATATATGATACGAGGTATTTTTTTAATAGAAATCTGACATTAAAATCTAATTTAATGCCATGTAGTTGGAGCTATATTGTGGTTAGTGTATTTAGTGATTATCTTAGTTTGCATTGGTATGTCGTTAATAAATGCTGCAGGGCAGGCTCGTTATTAACGTTACGAAACCTAGCTACAAGGATCTTTAGCACTGCTTACAGTCACTAACATAACCGCCGTGCAGATTAAGTGTACTTATCTGACATGATCACAAACAGGCTCTGTGTGTAGCAGCTACATTTTTTATCGTGTTCCGACTTGCAGGACCAAACATGAAAATGAGGCAACACCTCGCTCCTGTTCTACTCATTCCCATAATGCTAGTCACCAGGGCCCGGTTTTTCAAAAGTAATCCACTAGGATTTTGGATAACGGATTGGATCAAATCTTGAAAATGGGTTTTTCAAAAGAAGAAACGGATTACATAATCGGATTAGATCATGTAATCCAATCTTGGTTTTGATCCGGATCAAACCTTCATTTAGGGTTTTTCAGAACTTTTTTGTAGGATTTGGATCACTTTGATCCAGAAAATCTGGATTAAACTGATCCCATCAGAAGGGTGGATTCAGCGTGGATTCCATGCCCAAAATGTTATGAAAACCTTAAAAATGTATCAAATAATACTATATTTGGATCATGCAGTATCATACAAGATATCCTATTTATTCATAAGGTTTTAATTTTATTTGTTCATCCGTAAGGCTACAGTGATTAGGTAGGCTTTAACGTATTCAGCCTTTCAGTATAGGCCTACAGCAAAGTAGACAGAGTTCGGCCTCATACAATAATCCCCCAAACAGCTGTCAAAATTGACAGAAAACAATAAATTGTATTCTGTCACTAATTGATATATATATATTCATCACAATCGAACTAATTTTGTTCTTAGAATATTTATTAGTGATGCATGCAATGATTACAGAATAACCCCTAAAATGCAAAGAATGGCAATCACTGCTTTTTGAAGTCCAAAACAATTCCAAATCAGAAATAGTGTCTAACTATTGCGTCCCTTGTTGCACGTCCTGTTTGCTCGTTCTGGCAGAATGCAGGAGGTTGGTTAGGGTCTCCAAGGGGCTCAGGTGCATCATTGTCAGCACAGAGAGGGACATTGCGCTTAGTAGCGATGTTGTGCAGGACAATACAGGCAAGGGTTATGTTGCATGCTTTCTGTGGTTCCGCTCTCAGGTAGTTAAGGCATGCAAAGCGCCTCTTAAGAACCCCATTTAAACGCTCAATTGCACATCTTGCTCTGCAATGAGCAGTGTTGAAGCGTGCCTGCGCCGGTGTATTTGCTGTTAGAAACGGAGTCATCAGCCATGGTAGGAGTGGGTAGGCACTGTCTCCTAATATTATGCCATCCGGTCGGTTGGTTTGGAGGTCTCTATATAGAGCGCTCCCCCTCAGGATGCGTGCATCATGGACAGACCCAGGCCACTTGACAACGCAGTTGGTGATGATGAGGTCAGCATCACACAAAAGTTGGACATTGATGCTGTGCCTCCCCTTTCTGTTTATAAACTCCCATTCATTCTCACGAGGTGCTTGTATATGCACATGTGTGCAGTCGATTGCTCCAATAGTATTGGGCATATTCCCCAAAAGAAAAAAGCTGCGCTTGGCCTGGGCAATCTGGTTGTCCTTTGGAAAAGAAACAAATTCATTGGCCAGGCTGGCCAGTGCGATTGACACATCTCTCACCACATCACACACAGCTGATTTCACCACTCCCATATAGTCACCAACAACCTGATAGAAAGTCCCACATGCATAAAATCGGAGAGCAATGAGGATCTGCTCTTCCACAGACAGACCGTGACTCCTTTGGGTTCTGTGTTGAAGTTTCGGCCTGAGAAGGTTCACAAGGTACTCTATATCAGCCTTCCCAAAGCGAAACCGGACATACAGCTCCTCAGTGGTGTATTGCTCCAGTGGCTTGGTACGTTCAACATACATCCGCTGTCAGCTAGGATTGGCTCCAGCCCCTCCGCAATCCTGTTCAGTATAAGCAATATAAATCATGGGTGGCTGAAGATTATAGTTTGCAACTTTTTCAGACCCATTTTTCTTAAATACTGGGGACAAAAAAAAAAACATTATTCAAGCTAACTATTGGCAAAGCAGTTCAAAAATCTTCCTGGACCCAATCATGGGTGAAAAACAGTGGGATAAACTAGGGACAACAAAGACACAGTATGCTGTTAAAGTGAAACACTACCACCAACACCACCAGTTGCTAAAACATGATTAAAGCAACTGTGGGACCATTATTGTTGCTAAAAAAAAAGCATACTTTTTATTCTCCAAAGACAAGGAACTAAAAGTATACTCTCATTATGGGCTTGGGGGCATCAGTGTGTCTAAATTCACTGGCTGCTAAGTGAAAGACTAACGTTTGATAGCACCAGGAAATATGTAATATCATCCAATTACCTAACAAACAAACGTTTGTTAACAAACATTAATGCAAAGATCAAAACAAATGTCTTTAAGTCACTAGATCATAAAAAACAAGCTCAATGTCTCTTTTTAACTGCCTCATCACTGACATTACATGGTTGAGAATCACAATCTGTTACATATTTAAAATATATTTGAGCACTTTTGATCCATTTATAAGAATGGATTCCTTATAACATGGTTCTCTTCACTAAAATATTCAGCATGTCTATAGTATGAGAAACCCTTCCATCTCTGTTTCAGAAATTATTTTGGGATTCTAGTTCATAATGCATTATGAGACAAGTAATTAGTATTAAAATAGTGAATCCTTACCAGGTCTTCCCTGGGGAGAGCTGCTGAATCATCTCCAGATGGAAGGCCAGACTGAGAAGATAACAAACCCTGTATTAGAGCGCCATCTACTGGAGAACATTGGGTATGTTAATTTAACATACTCTGTATCGTGCTGAGCTTTTAAGAAGGCACAATGCACCAGGTAGAACATGGAAGTTAGTTCCTTGGATAAAACACTTCACCCATTCTCTTTGATGGTAGGGGTGTAACAGATCGTAGTTGATCTGTTATCCGTACAGAATATATAGTAAACAGTAAGATGTAAAACCTTCCTGAGGAGAAGGTGCACGAGACACAAGTTTGTACATCATTTGTTTCCTCGGAATGATCATTGCTTGTCAGTAATTTAAATCCACAATTTTAGCAGTGAGCCGAGTAACGTTACAAATACCAGGCTTGTTTGGCTAACAGTGACCTTTCCCCATCATATCTTCAAATGTTCACAAGCGAACAGACACAGGGCTACATAATCAGTTGGAAGGGCGTAGCGTTACACTGGATCATTATAATTAGCTAGCCGACCAGATATGCAAACCACATAAGTGTTGGCAACATATTATAACGTTAAAGCACAATAACGCCAACTTGGCCTTTTGTGTCCACTTGTCAACACAAGTAACGTTATGTCTCACTGAGAGGCAACTTTTTAAATGTTGTAGGAGCTAGCTAGCACGCTAATTAGCAAACAAGCTAAGCTTGGCTAGCTGAACATTTATAAATGTATTTAACGAATATCATGGCATTCAAAGGGCACACAATATGAACACACGATAGGAGTTTACTGTCGTTATCTGGACACCAAGAGATAAGTGTTTAACTGTATAAATGTAGACCTGTGCTGGTGGATCAGGTTGCCCGGTGGATGCCATCTTCCTATTCCTCGTTTACTTGAGAGGCTGCTCGAGTGAGCAACGCTCGATTGCTTTTTCTGAAGGCTAACAACCGTCCATTATTAAGTAAACTGATCACTGATCACTTCAGAGATGAAAACTTCATTACTATTTCTACTGCACTATAATGTTTTTATATTTAAGCAGTAGTAGTCTTTTTTGTTTGATAATCCAGCCAGGCCCTGGTCTTGCAGGTTTACTCCTCCAAGACAATTCAATTAAATTAAGGCGCAATATCCCTATAATGTGCAATAAGTTACTGGTGGAACATTAAATGTTATATTTGTCACCAAGTGACACATTAAAAGAAGGAAAATTACTGAGTCCAAAATATCTTGTGGGGTAAAATGCCCTCTTTAGCTATATATCCTGAGAGAAAATGAGACTGAGCCTTGCTGAACTATGAATTATGTCCATTAATAATATTGGTTGGAAGTAGATCTAGACTAATAATGACCAGTGTTGAGCAGTGAATTATATGTAATTAAACTAGTAATTTCACTACATTTTACAGTAACTTCTTAGTAGTTCAACTACATTCATATTTGTTTAGTGACTGAACTGGTTAAATTCCATGTTTTCCAAAATTTTGTGTAGTTAAGTACTGTAACTACATATAATTCTGGGCCACAAAAGGAAATGAATGGTTTTTATTTTTATTTTTATTTTAACATTGCTTCTCTAATCCTAACTACCTTTTGGAGTTTAATATTTTTTGTAGTTGCTTTTTAAATACAGAAAAACTACATATCCCAGAGTCCGTAGCGCCATCACGGCAGTTTCCATGTTCGACATGATTGTACGGTGTGGTCAATGGCTGACAAAGAAGGCGACAATTGCCGGTATTTATCAGTGTTAAAGTATCAGAAAGAATTAAAATACGTTGGTGCACATACCGTCTAGAATGACAGATAGGAAACCGTGTAAAGTGTGCAATTTCACACGACAAAAATCATATGGGTTGGTAGTTCCCTCTCTCGATGAGCTGAAGATAAAAGGTGAGTTACCATAACTTGTTATAAGTTAATGCTAAAGGTGTTTGTGTGGCTGTTTAAGGATTATATTATATTATAAGGTCATTTTAAGGGGGAGATATATGATACGAGGTATTTTTTTAATAGAAATCTGACATTAAAATCTAATTTAATGCCATGTAGTTGGAGCTATATTGTGGTTAGTGTATTTAGTGATTATCTTAGTTTGCATTGGTATGTCGTTAATAAATGCTGCAGGGCAGGCTCGTTATTAACGTTACGAAACCTAGCTACAAGGATCTTTAGCACTGCTTACAGTCACTAACATAACCGCCGTGCAGATTAAGTGTACTTATCTGACATGATCACAAACAGGCTCTGTGTGTAGCAGCTACATTTTTTATCGTGTTCCGACTTGCAGGACCAAACATGAAAATGAGGCAACACCTCGCTCCTGTTCTACTCATTCCCATAATGCTAGTCACCAGGGCCCGGTTTTTCAAAAGTAATCCACTAGGATTTTGGATAACGGATTGGATCAAATCTTGAAAATGGGTTTTTCAAAAGAAGAAACGGATTACATAATCGGATTAGATCATGTAATCCAATCTTGGTTTTGATCCGGATCAAACCTTCATTTAGGGTTTTTCAGAACTTTTTTGTAGGATTTGGATCACTTTGATCCAGAAAATCTGGATTAAACTGATCCCATCAGAAGGGTGGATTCAGCGTGGATTCCATGCCCAAAATGTTATGAAAACCTTAAAAATGTATCAAATAATACTATATTTGGATCATGCAGTATCATACAAGATATCCTATTTATTCATAAGGTTTTAATTTTATTTGTTCATCCGTAAGGCTACAGTGATTAGGTAGGCTTTAACGTATTCAGCCTTTCAGTATAGGCCTACAGCAAAGTAGACAGAGTTCGGCCTCATACAATAATCCCCCAAACAGCTGTCAAAATTGACAGAAAACAATAAATTGTATTCTGTCACTAATTGATATATATATATTCATCACAATCGAACTAATTTTGTTCTTAGAATATTTATTAGTGATGCATGCAATGATTACAGAATAACCCCTAAAATGCAAAGAATGGCAATCACTGCTTTTTGAAGTCCAAAACAATTCCAAATCAGAAATAGTGTCTAACTATTGCGTCCCTTGTTGCACGTCCTGTTTGCTCGTTCTGGCAGAATGCAGGAGGTTGGTTAGGGTCTCCAAGGGGCTCAGGTGCATCATTGTCAGCACAGAGAGGGACATTGCGCTTAGTAGCGATGTTGTGCAGGACAATACAGGCAAGGGTTATGTTGCATGCTTTCTGTGGTTCCGCTCTCAGGTAGTTAAGGCATGCAAAGCGCCTCTTAAGAACCCCATTTAAACGCTCAATTGCACATCTTGCTCTGCAATGAGCAGTGTTGAAGCGTGCCTGCGCCGGTGTATTTGCTGTTAGAAACGGAGTCATCAGCCATGGTAGGAGTGGGTAGGCACTGTCTCCTAATATTATGCCATCCGGTCGGTTGGTTTGGAGGTCTCTATATAGAGCGCTCCCCCTCAGGATGCGTGCATCATGGACAGACCCAGGCCACTTGACAACGCAGTTGGTGATGATGAGGTCAGCATCACACAAAAGTTGGACATTGATGCTGTGCCTCCCCTTTCTGTTTATAAACTCCCATTCATTCTCACGAGGTGCTTGTATATGCACATGTGTGCAGTCGATTGCTCCAATAGTATTGGGCATATTCCCCAAAAGAAAAAAGCTGCGCTTGGCCTGGGCAATCTGGTTGTCCTTTGGAAAAGAAACAAATTCATTGGCCAGGCTGGCCAGTGCGATTGACACATCTCTCACCACATCACACACAGCTGATTTCACCACTCCCATATAGTCACCAACAACCTGATAGAAAGTCCCACATGCATAAAATCGGAGAGCAATGAGGATCTGCTCTTCCACAGACAGACCGTGACTCCTTTGGGTTCTGTGTTGAAGTTTCGGCCTGAGAAGGTTCACAAGGTACTCTATATCAGCCTTCCCAAAGCGAAACCGGACATACAGCTCCTCAGTGGTGTATTGCTCCAGTGGCTTGGTACGTTCAACATACACCCTTTGACGGTATCCTCTCCTGGCAAAGTGGTGGTGGCGGTGGACAACACCTGCCATTTCACTGTCTCTCTGTGACTCCTCTGAGAAAGGCTGATCTATATGGCGGTGTAGTTGGTCTTTTCGGACACACCTATTACAACTGAGTAGGTGTGGCTTGTGTTCAATTGAGGCAATTGACCCAACGCCTATAATTGATGAACAATGTTCACTATAGTAAAGCAACGGAACCATGGACTCAAGAAGCTGTAACTTCACTGCTGCTGAAACCAATGCACTACTAGAGGGTGTTCGGTGCCATTATGGAACAATAGTGGGAAGTTTTACTTCTGCTAAGGATACCAACAAAAAGAAAAATGATGTTTGGATTTTAATCACAGACAATGTGAATGCCATAGGGTCTGGCCAGAGGAGGACCACAGACCAAATCAAATTGCGGTGGAAGAATCTTAAGGCCAGGGCAACAAAGGACCATGCTGAAGCCAAAAACCCACAAACAGGCAACAAGCCATTTAAGAGGGGGGATTACACAGATGTGGTCCTCGACATCATTGGAGGTGAGAAGTCGCAAGCTCTTCATGGTATTCAAGGTGTTGTAGGGGATGGCGAGCCTTGGATTGAGGAGGAGGAGGTGAATCTGCCAGTTCCTCCTGAGGCTGATCCAGAGAGCGTATTTATATTGAATCTCAGCTCTGTTCCTGAGGAAGAAGCTGGATCCTCATTGGTTGAGCCAGTGGTAGTTGCCACAGGATCTCAGAGCAAAGGCTTGAAGAGGCCTTCATCAAACAAAGATGATGATTACAAGGCACTTCTGCAAAAAGAGACTGAAAGGGCAGAAGCACAGCTTCATCTGGCAGAGGAACAACTGACTCTGACCAAACTGCAGCAAACCAAGGCCAGACTTGAGATCCGCCTCCTAAAGGCTACGCTCAGACAAGCTGGTCTCTCCACATCAGATGAGGAAGTCTGAAATTAGTGTGGAGTATTTGACATTAGGTCACTTTTCTTAATTCAATACATCTATATTTGAAACTTGTTATAAATATCCTCGATGTACAGTGTTTGTGTTGTAGGTCTCAGATGAGCGGACTGCTGGAAGAGGATGGGGTGGGGTTTTTCTTGTGTTTAGTTTCTTTTAAATGTGTGTGTTTTCATTTCAAATAATAATAAACGTATATTGACCCCACACTGGCTATTCTACTTGTTGCTCTTTACATATCTATAGTTCTACATTGTGATTTCCTATCCTGTTTGAGCACTGGTTATCCAGATTTGGTGATCCTGAAAAGTTCCTATCTGGATCAGATTGATCCAATCTGATGTTGCTTTGAAAAACTGGCTCAAGAAGTAAGCTGGATTACGTGATCACGGATCGCAAAAAAAGGATTACTGAATCCGGATCAATTTTATCCGGATTAAACCTTTTGAAAAACCGGGCCCAGGTGTTACCCAGATCAGTGCACCATTCATGTTGTCTGTCCATCTGAAGTGTGCTTTCAAATTAGATCTAGTGCTTTCATAAAGGCGTCAAATCCCTTCACTTTTTTGCACACTTAGTATTGTAGATGCAGATTTAAATGGATAAAACTGCCTTTTTGCTCATTATCCTACACATATTATTTAGTTTATATGCACATTTAGGACTGGTGGTCCCGATTGTTTGGCTGTGAAGAATGTCTATATGGCTGAGAAGGTCCCTGTTGTAGTTATGATAAAAGATTTTCTGTAAAATCGTTTTTTTTTTTTTTGTTTGTTTGTTTGTTTTTTGCTGTTTCTATAGGGGGTGAGTTTCTTGGGTTCAGCCCCAGTGAGCTGGTCACAGTGGTCCTGGAAGATGATGGGACAGTTGTAGAGGATGACGTCTACTTTTTGTGTTTACCCTTAAACACAAAATTCATGCTGTTGCGTGAAAAGGACACTTGGTCTCCTGGTCGCAGGAGTAAGTAGGTTTACTTCTTTCAGAGATGTGCCCACAATATGGACTGATTCTTCTCATTTTAACAATGAAATCACTTACTTTCCATTGTAGTTGATGGCGGCACAGCCTGGATGGCCAGGGATTCTATGATTCTGGAGACTGATGCTGTGGACTCCTCTAGTGTTGCAGCACCATGGTGGAACCTGGCTCAACAGCTAAAGCAGGACCTGGCCAGTATTATACTGATGTCTGAGGCAGATTTACAGGTACCAACATCATCCCTCTGTTTCACTAATGCAATGTTTCCACTATTGGAGCCTAACGAGCATTATACTCCACACTTCCCTTAACTATCACAAAGCATAGTCTCTGGGGTTGATGTGGACCGTCCTGCTTAGTTTTTCCACTGTATTTTCTCTCTGACGGTCTCTGTTTAGAGGAGGGAGGGGCTGCTCTCCTCTCACACACGCAGTCAGCAGTGTATTTACACACAGTGCTTGTATGTTGCTGGTACTTGATTTTAGTACTGCATCCTGAGGGGTACCGAAATTTAGTTCTGCGAACATACCTCCAAAGCGGGCGCACCTTAGTGGAATCAAACACAGACCCATGACAAGCGTTTTGGTAGGCTCTTATAATGGAAAAACCCCTTACATTACCTGCTGTCATATACAGTGGGTACGGAAAGTATTCAGACCCCCTTAAATTTTTCACTCTTTGTTATATTGCAGCCATATGCTAAAATCATTTAAGTTCATTTTTTTCCTCATTAATGTACACACAGCACCCCATATTGACAGAAAAACACAGAAT